CGCATTTAATAAAATACGTTTTTGAAATCAAAACAGAGCTGCAATCCATCATGAAGCAAACAGTGACATCGTCAAGCACTAGTTTATTTTAACCAGACTTATGAAGCATGGAGGTTTCAGTTCAAGCTACATTAACTAACTACAACTAAAGGGTTAGGGTAGCTACATTAACTATAGTTAGTTAATGTAGCTAACTATAACTATAACTAAACTATAGTTAGTTATAACTAAGCTATATATAACTGAGTTTTTTTTAAACTTTATTATTGCTCAGTAATAAGACAAAAGTATTTATTACCGGAGTACGAGATTCATAAAAATAGACCATAGCCATGCATTAGTTTAGTTTGTTTATATTTAGCAAATGCATTTTGCAATTTAGAATAAATCGGCATTCATGTGCAAAATTTAGCATTTCCCAATGAGATTGAGAACATGCAGTGCATACACAGAAAAGGCCAAACAATTTCAACAACAGTGAGAGGTTCTGAATCGAGGTGTTTTATATTGTAAGGTAAAAACCTTACAAAATTAAAGCTCCAACCCAAACAATCCCCGACGAGCAAGCACTTGGCAACAGTGGGGAGGAAAAACTCCCTTTCAACAGGAAGAAACCTCCAGCAGAACCAGGCTCAGAGAGGGTCAGCCATCTGCCGCGACCTGTTTGGATGGGGCTAATGAGAGACAGAACCAACACTGTAGGATTTTAAAATTGTTTCAATCTTGTGAATTGTATATATCATAGTCGAAATCATAGCCTGATTTCGACTACGATTTTGTAGGAAAACAATGTTTTCAAAAATTGCCCAAAAGGACAACACTTTCTAAAGGTCTTTGAAGAGGATTGTTCAGATGAATTGTTGTTATTCTCCGTAACAACAAAAACCTTAATCCTCTTCTCCTTCATCTTGCTCGCTTCAGATATCAACGTTCTTGCTACATTATCTTCAAAGTTTAACTGCCTGAATTCCATGGCAGTCTGTACCATCATTTTAGACTTATATGTCTTCTTTAGACTCTTATAAACGGCTCTAACAAGTTTGTCTAAAGATTTTGGAAGTTGTGCGGGTAGTTTACCCACAGCCATTTCAACAACGTTTTCTAAAATGGCAAAAGTGTTGACCTGCTTTGTTGATGTGCCTGTCTTTGAGGTGATCATGTTGATCAGCCTAACAAGAAACTTAATTATAAAGTTTCTTTCTTTAGTTTCTTGTGTCCTTTCCCCTGGACTGGACACAAAGAAGGGGATCTGTTCTTCAGACGTTTCAGCAGGACTGATTTGATTTTCCCCAAAAACAGAACACTTTATCCTTTTCTTCTTTACCTTATTGATCTCTGATATTAAAATTCTTGTGACATTTGCTTCAAATATTGACTGATGAAATGCAATGACAAATTGTAGCAAGTCCTCGGAGTTGTACATCTTCTGCAGTCCTTGGAAAACAGACTTAACCACCCTGTCTATAGATGTTGGCAGTTCTGCAGGTAATTTTCCTGCAGTCTTTTCTGTGATCGTTTTGATGAGTGCAGACATGTCGATGGGTTTCATGACTAATTTATTTTCTTTTGTAATGGTGTTTGAAAGCTTTAAAACAAACTGAACGATAAAGTTTTTTTCATCCATTTCTCGTCTCTCTGCCCGTGTACGGGTCATAAAGGCGGATTTGAAGAGAACTGTCTGCATCTCCTCTTCAGATATTTCTATGGGCCTGGTTTCCCGTGGACTGTCTGCTTTAAAGGAATCCATTTGAGGTTTTTTTCTGTGCTGTTCTCTGATCCCGTTACTAGTGTCTGTAATAACTTTTAGTATCAAGTTTCTTCGGCGATTTCGGAAATAAATCCTCCGAGCCTATTTATGAGCTGGTAGGACCAGCTCAAAGCTGAAAATGTATCACGTGACACTAACGTCAGCGTTGGAGTGTGATGTCACTGGAGAGGGCGTGGCCGCCGAGACACCATTTTAGCAGGCCAAACAAAGGGCTAAAGGAGCGAAAGCACACGGTTAGTATCGGCAGTGGTACGCACTTGCTGTGTTGTCGGTTGTAATGTTAGATGCACGATCGGGAAGGGAATAAGCTGGAGAATGGGATCTCTTTTTACCGTTTGTAAAACGGATGGACAAGCGACTGTTTTTATGTGTTGTCGTTAGCAACAAGGACGGTAAAACCATCGTGTCCGCTTGTTTAATTTCCTTTCACAATAAAGCTCAAGATCCTGTTGAGACTTTTCAAAATAAACTGAATCACGTGAGAGTGTTTACGGATGAGTATGGGCTCAAATTGTGGTCATACATATATATTTTTTTGTGTGTAAAAAAGATTTGTGTGTGGACTTAGCCAAAAAGTACATGTGAAACTCAAACCAGTGTTGTGCCAAAAAGTGATTGTCTGCCAAAAACTAATTTCCGGTATTTGCCAAAAATTGATTGCTCGTATTTAAACTGCTATAAGTAACTTGTTGGGCTATAAAATATGAAACAGATGTCAAATGTCAAGAAGTCATCTTGAGCCACAAACAACATGCGTGTAACAAGGTAGAAGCCGCAATCAGTTTTTGGCAGCGACTTTTATATAACCTTTATTTATGCAGTTAAAAAAAATCTCATTAACATTAAAAATGTCTTTTGTAAGAGTAAGTTGGCCAAGAGGACAGAAGAAAAGGCAGCAAATATTGCAATAGTTCTGTAAAAATATTTTAAGTAGGAAAAAAGGACCGGATTGGTTATAATGTAAGTACAATAACACACAGTTGTAAAGATACTTGAAAAACGGATAATTTTTTAATTCTATATATAACCCCTTTGTAAACCCTGTTCACCGAAGTCTATTTATGAACATACGTAAAGATATTACACATAAAAAATACACAGAAACATTGGAAATCAGTTTTTGGCAGACAATCACTTTTTGGCACAACACCGGCAACCTCCCGATTACAAGGCGAACTCCCAACTCTTGAGCCACGACCGCCCCAGAAATAAATAACAAAATATTTACGACCACAATTTGAGCCCATAGATGAGAAGCAAAAAAGAGCCGCCATGTGCTAAAAATAAACCTTAGACTCAAACGTTAGAACAGGCCTTTCCCCGCAGCACGCCGTTGAATAAATACGAAGAAAACGGCTGCCGTTACAACTTATGTATCGTTTCATGCATTGGTTAAAACACTCAACTCCAGGTACACGATGCCCAGCTGAGTTGAGCTGCCCGAGATTCACAGAATTTACAGAAAATGTTACATTTTTGTGATTTATATCGTTATCGGGGCTATAGATGCTTATATTGGGATATGTGATTTTGGTCATATCGCACAGCCCTACTCTGAGGTCATAGCAAATTAGAACAATCATCCTAATGAGTGATTTTGTAGATATACGTTCTATTTATAGAGTTGCTAATTGTTTTTCATTATTGCAGGCCAACCAGCCTATGAAATGGATGGCACAAATCCTGACTGGGTTCCAACGCTACATATGGGGCACTACGAAATCCCTGCTTCAAACTACATCTTCCATGTGAGGGTGAAGAGGTGACCCTTTTGGATAAGATAGTGAAGGTTTGCTGCGCTTTGGTGAATGAGTGAGTGGTAGTAAAACCAGGGGAAAATGCTCTTGTTAAATACTCTTAAAAGTCTTGTGCTGTGTATGTAGTTATACGTTTTCAAAAGAGACAGGAAATTACAGAATGCTAATAGTGGCTGATATTATTTAAATGTTGTCATAATTTTATTTGAACATTTTGTCATTTGTAAACTATACATTGATTCTACATTGTAACTGATGTGATATTCTACAAAGTGGTTTTAATTAAAAGGCAAATATTAGTTTGTTTCTTTATTCAACTTTTTGAAGTGTTACTTAGTAAGCACATATTCAGTAAATGCAAATTATTTACATGGCAATGCACTTCAGGCACAAATGTAGACCCCCTAAATAAAACATTATGGGTTATTCAGAACAGAACTATGCTTGGAGAAATATTTTCCCATCAGTTGAGACAACTCCTCCACAGTAGCAGGTGGAATTTTTCTTTTCTGAGGATGGCTTCTTTTACCTGTCACTACGGATGGTCTGTTTGTGTTTTGATTGAGAGCCTTTTTCGGGGCAGCTGAAGAGAAGTCTATCTTATGGCCAACTTCTGACTGTATCATGGTCATATTGCCCAGCAAAACCTAGTATGCAGGTTCATCTGTAACAGTCCTTGTGCCACGGATCAACACTGTTGCTTCTACTTTAAACAGAAGAGGGGTGACATGGCTGCAGGTATCCGCGACTCCGGCCATACAGGTGCAGTGGGCGGTTTCAACCTTCCCTGTGATGCTCACAATGACCCATGGCTGCAATGCTGGTTCATTCAGTGCCGTGCAGTACCTGAAACACACACAAAGTTAATTTAAAGACAATACATGTAATTTTTAAAAAATCTTTTTATGTATCCATCTATAGAATGTTGCATGTTATATTCTAATTCTGCCTGTTTTTTTTTGTTTTTGTTTTTTTTTAATCTGCCAGCAAAAAATGAACCTAAATTATGTAATGCAAGGATGTAATCACTTTCAAGAGGGAGAAAGCACAAAGTTCGACTTTAAGTGACAAATATGAATCACTTAATATGATAAGGAGATTCTGCAGGTCATTAATCAATGTATAAAACCAAAAAAGAATGTATTTTTAGTGACACAGGACATAAACACGGAAGCAAGATGTATAATTAGGATTATTTATAATAAATGTGAATTAATGATTGCAATTTCTTTAACCATAGAGAATGACTAAATGCTTCAGGACAATGTCACATCAATGCACTGAACTCACTATGTTATCCATCTAACAGAGCCTCCACATGTTCTCACTGTAATTTCCCCCTCATTAATGAATTGATGCTTGCACTAATCTTAAAGTACGGGGGGAAATTAAATGCATTTTACTTGCAGTACTCAAGCTGACTTACCTTTGTTTGAATGACGGCGTATTGACTAAATCCTCCTTCTCTTGTGCAGTGTATACACCTGAGACTGTCACCTGTCTGTCTGTCCTGCACTCTCTCTCTTTTTCTTTCTCTCTGCTTGTGTAATAAAAGTATGAACATGTATTTATAAGTTACACTTGTGTTTGAATCCTGCAGC